AAGGCTGGGCCCTGCGGCGCTTCTTCGAGGCCATCGCCACCGGACCTGCTTATGGTCCTCATTTTCGTGACGTGCAACGCTGGTGTAGTGTGACCCCTTTATGTCAACGTCAAAGGCATTCGGACCTACACAGTTGGGACCTCAAGAGATAGGGTTTCGTTCGTGTCTGCCAAATCTTAGAGTGCTTGATTCCTCAATCCTGAGAGTGGATTGTAATTGGAGGACAACGAATAGTGTTAACAAGCAGCTCGGGCCTGCCTTCATTGTCAGTGAAGAAGACTTCTTCTTCTCTACCACTGTCAGATCTGACGCTGTCAGCGGCAAGTCCTGCAAGATGATCAGCGACTTTATTGCCTATTCGAGGCACATATGACCAATGGACTTTGACTGGCGATTGCGCAAGTAGTTGCCAAAGGGAGTCTAGCTTTCTTACAAGGTCAGCTCTGTGGATGCAAATGGCGCCCGCAAAGTGTTTTACAATGTTTAGGCTGTCCCCTTGAATGATCACTTCTTGAATGCCTTACAAGCGGCAAGCTCAAGAGTTTCAGCAGTGGTTTCGACAGCCGCAACAATTTCCGCAAACATAGAATCGGAGCAGGGTTGAAGAGGCACTGCAATGGTTTCGAGAATGTTGGGTGTTGGCCCAGGGGCCCAAATGACACCTCCTGCCCCGCCTATGCCTGCCTTCCTGGACGTCGAACTGAGCGACAAGGTGGGTGTCTTGAAAGGGCTTGAGCTCCACGATAAGTGGAGTGAACGCAGGCAGGTCTGATAGTCGTAACCTGAAGATGTAAGCTTCCGCAATGGCACATCTTAGGAAAAAGAGCGACATTAGGCATGCCTGACGCTTGATGATACATTGGAGCAAGGACTAAGGAAGTAGTGCGGTGGGTCCAAAGTTGCAAGGATGTGGTTGTAGGAGGCATTTATGTTGGCGACAGTGATTCCCTGTGCGCTCGATTTTATGAGTGAAGAGAGAGGGTTTCTCACTTCTATCCGCAAGTTGCTCTCGTGACAACACACCTTGGCTTTATCACAGTTTATCCACCATTCTGGCAGCGTCTTGGGCATGAGGATGCGGGGAACATTTATCCAAATGCGCGAGGCAAGCAAGGCAAGTTTGGTCATATGTTTGCTCCGATTCACCCAGGGTGCCAGGTACATTGTTCTTCCATAGTGTACCTTCTCATAGTTGCGAGCCAAAAAAGAGCAACAGCACAGAGGCGCTTGTCCATCTTACTTCCATTGCTTTCAAAATCAAGAGCTTGCTTCAGCGTACTAATGAGATTGTCTGCTAAAGTATAGCCCAGTTCATGCAGACCAATGAAAAGCGAAGCTCTGGATATATCACAATTAGTGATCCAATGCTCGGTGGTATTGGAGGCTTTGCCACAAAGTAGGCAGGGAGCTTCTATATACTGTGCTTGCGACGCATGTGGCAGCGCGGCACGATATATGATCTGCCGGCCTAGATTTTTGCTCTTGGTTTGCAGGGCTCTGCAAAACCGGGCATCGACCATCAGCACGTCCTGGGAACATAGCTTGAAGGTAGTCTTGAACATCAACCGGGCAATCTTCCCAGGTAATACACGCAGCACATATAGGGAGGCAACCGTACCCTTGATCATACAGGAGATTTCGCCCTTTGCAGTGAAGTTTACAAGCGCGGCAAATTTCATCCCTTGTAGCGTGCTGACGGTAAATAAAGTACGTGTCAGCCTCTTCAGCAACCGCCCATCTCAGGGCATAGCGCCTCGTGATGTTGCTCGCAATGGTCTTAGGCGGAAGATTCAGCGTTAGTAGAATCGTTCCAAGAAGGTCAGCATGGAAGTGGTTAGAAATCTTACTCTTCAGGTATTGCTGAGCTTGGATGCATGCAGCATTCCTTAAGACTGCACGTAGTGCGAGCTGGGCTTTTTTCAGACCTTGTACAATAGGCTTATTGTACCGAGGTGAGAGGACATCGTCGCAGCTTTTCCTCGCTGCACGTTACCGCCTTTTGGACCTTTCCCTTGACCTGCTCTAAGAGTTTATGAAGGAAGGGTTGGAGTCTGTCCTCAATAGGATCAAGGTCGTAAAGAATGGCATTCAGAGTCCATCTTCCTTTCCATCTCAGGAGCAGTCCTACCTGCGAAAGTGTTGAGTTGATTTGAGGGTCCATCACTCTTGGTGCCTTAACAAAGTCCAGCGACCCAGCCCAGTGCCGAGCTTGTAGCCATGGTCTTCGCAAGATCGTATTGCTAGGCCAGCAGAGTGGGGGCAAAGGTTATTTGCGCTTGATTTATCCACCGTACGCCTTTGGCTGCAGCACTATTATCATCCATGTACGCAGTTAAGCGAATGAAGGCGGAGACATTATGGAGAGCACAAATCAACGGGTCAAGGGCTAAACAAAAGAGAACCACAGAGGTGGCTCGTCCCATCGCTAATCCTTGATTGATCATCAAAGGAGGGAGGAAGTGCCCTTGTATCTTATGCTGGATTCTCCTGCCAAACAGGAGGTGAATGACATAGGCTTTGACCCATGCTGGGGCGACTCTGGCTGCAAGGCATTCAAGCACCCACCAGGGATTGATCCGTTCAAAAGCCTTAGCAAAGTCAGCTCAATTTGCATGTTTTGGCCAAGCGGCTGCTAGTGGTGGGACGTTGGTGGCTCCTTTCCTGCAGAGACTGTCAGGATCATGCATGCCGGCTCCGCGCGGTCAGATAGATGATGTGATATGTTGCTGCCTTGTTTTGCTCAGACTTGCTCCGTGCCCGGACCGCGAATAAGCGGGTGTTTGAGACTTTCATGCTGCCCAGCACCGTGAAACTTGACAAACAGACATGGCGAGGCAACGAGTTCATCCAGACAAGCGCCTTCGCTGGGGACGGTCCAGGATACCCTGGCTACCGAGGACTGGTGGATGTTCTCCTTGGTTTTGGGGTCTCGTCGGTGAGTGACAAGCCCAGTTCATCGGGACTCGACCAAATCATACACGTGAGCTTTGTGCACCAAAGTGACAACTGGAAGGCGGTGGAGCAACGCCTGTCCGCGGGCATCGGAGAATGGTCTCAGATTCGGATCAAGACCTTCCATCTGCGAGCCATCTTAGTCTCAATTTTTGGCTTTGCCCAATCGTTTTGCCCTCGCGTGCCATATTGAATGCTAACATGTCATGTGCCATCTATTCGGAAACCCCCATACTGCTTCCAAAGCTGGGAACATGATATAGCAGACATGAGGATGGGATGAGTATGTTGTAAGCCTGAATCCAGCCTCACGATCGAAACTCCCTGGTGTAAGCCAAGGCTTGAAAGGTCTGTAATGGGGGGGGCGGTGCACCGCTGATTTTCAGACACAGGCCTCCATCCTAGGAAACAAAGCCGCACGTGTTGAGGAATTAGCGTATTCCAAATCCACATGCACGCAGGCACATCAGCATGGATGCTCCGTAAAGCATAGATGGCCAAGACGTGCTTCACCGACCAACCCAAGCAGTCCACAACTAGCGCCGTCAAATCTTGGCAGGGTGGACCAGCAGGCATAAGAATGGCCGCAGTTCGTGGGAAGGAAGGAAACAATTTGCTTAAGTAGGAGGCAATTAGATTGCTTGCAGGACATGTCATGCGTCGCGAAAGGCAAGTAAGTGAGTGAAACTCCAAGCAAGCGCATCTTGGGCCCCATGTCCATTTTTGGAATAATCATATTTGTGGCAAGTAACGGCATGAAGAACAGCATCCAGCTCTGCAGAGATGCCCCGCTCAACGCCGGTTCGACGCAACCAACCTCACACTACGTTTTCCCATGTATATCGTATCGCCTGTATTGTAGAGAGGGCCTTCCTCACTGTCGATGGCTACGGGCTCTCACTCTCGACGGGGGCGGTCGGGGTTCGGGGGGGAATTTTCAAATACAGAAATGAAAGAATTGAAATGTTTGGGGAGTAGGTGCTAAGGGAGCGCTATACTGAATTTTGCTTTCTGTTGAGAATCGGATTGTGTCGTTTATAAACACATTGTCGCGTCATTGTGACAAAAGTCGAAGTCTCAGAAATGTAGTGGTGGGGGGATAAACACGCGCCCATTGTTCACATGTATGTACATATATATATATATAAGGTTACATTTTCATAAATATGCATTGTTTTAGTTTTAGAAGGTTCGAGGCATGGAGACAAACACAGATATACCACAAAAAAAGACCTGTATAAATCCTGTAAAAAACCCAGATAAAACCCAAACCCTGAAATCAGAAAAAGCCGAAAACAACCTGAAAACAACCTGATACAAAATTTCGAGGGGAGGGGGGGAACAGGGCAGGGGGGGCGAGGACTGGGGGCGAGGGGAGGGGGCTCTTGTGTTCCTAAGGAAAAACGTGAAAAAAAGCGAAAAAAAACACGGAAAAAAACGTGAACAGAACGTGAAAAAAACGTGAACAGAACCCAAAAAAACCCCCCCACCCCACCCCTTCCCTCCGCCCCCCCCCCCCCCCCCCCCCCCCCCCCCCCCATGCAGGTGAGGCGGGGCGCCAAAGCCATGGTCTATGTCTCGTAGCATGTGCTTGGTTGCCGCCTTTTTTCTGTGTTTTTTTCAGGTTTGTCTTAGGTTCTTAGCGGGTTTCTCCGAACCCTGGCTTGGGGTTTTTTTGGGTTCTGTATAGGTGAATTTTGGGTATTTTTTTATGAGCCGATTTGGGCATCTCCATTGGATCGGTCCTTTTAATTTTAGTTTGTAATAGTGATGTTATATCGTATTATTTTTACTTCTACCTTATGCATAGAAATATAGATCTTTTCATATAAGCATGTATATAAATATGTACATGTGCGCTTGTGATGGCTTGGACGTCAAGCAAAGCATTTCGCTCAACATGATTGCCACCATCTACCCTGAGCCACAAAAAAGGTTCACAATCTAGGGTGGCATTGTGGGGAAGGCGGTTGCAGCGTAAAGCAGCAGAACTTTTGTCAGAAGACCTTGTTTTTCTGACAAGCTTAGATGTGATGAATTGCACGTTGATGTTCAGCCTATGTGCGGCATTTATGGCTGCCTGCATATCCGGGTACGCGACCGAGTAATGCTACCCTAAACCCTAAACCCTAAACCCTAAGCCCTAAGCCCTGAACCCTATACCCTAGACCCTAAACCCTATACCCTAAACCCTAAACTCCTAAACCCTAAACCCTAAACCCACGGAGTGCCCTGTGCATCTGCAGGTGGCTGCTCTTTGTCATGATGCCCCACTACTTGTTCGCCGTCCTTCAGCCACTGTTTAACCCATCACTTCCCGGACCGCGTGCAGGTTGAATGTTGTGCATTGTAGTGAGCTAAGAACGAACAACCTGCTTGTAGTGATGCCAGATTGTGCTCCTCATGACCTTCATGACATGCTTTGCGGGCCTGTACATTCCCTACCGTTGCACCAGGCCGTAGAGTCACAGACACTGGTGATCTATTTCTTCGAAGCGGGATTCTCTTCGCGAGGCAGCGCTTGTGGATGGTCATGCCTACGACCAACCTCATCTGGTCTACACTGCTTTCGATCCTGGCTGGGCACTTGGAGTGGCCTTGAGTGGCCCCTAAATTGCGCAAAGTTGTTTTCGCAGCCCTCAATTTTCCCTTTTTCGCACCAGGTGAATGGCGCAGTCATTGCCATCGACAGCAGCTTTGTTGCCGAGGTGTGGGCGGAAGCTTTGTTTCTCAGGTGTGTTGCAGCGTCGTTCCAAGAAAACCCTGTTGGGTCCATGCCGTACTACTGCAGTTGTGTATGTCTTTGCACAATTCAGGCTGGATTGCAGACGCGCGAGTGCGTGCTTCTTGCGTGAGTTGCGGCTACACACCCTCGCAGGTTTATAGCATGGCAGACGTGCTGGACAACCTCGTCAGGTTGTTGGTCGCAATGTCCGGGCTAGCCATGGTGCCCTCTGCTGGGTTTTCCAAGATTTGGGCCCGCCATCTTTCAATCGAGTTTCCTTTTTTTCATGAACCCAGGGGGTCAGCATGGACTTTTTCCTCGTGCACTACCTGTATGCTCACGAGGCTTTGTGAGGGGTGAGTCTGCATTTCTTGAGCTTCGAGTTTCTATGTCCTCCGCTGATGTTTTCGTTACGGTGTGTACACCAGAAAGGTTGTTGAGTGGACTTTCTGCTTGACTTTTTGACGGCAGGCATCTGAGATCAGACGTCTGAAGAGGAAGGCATCCCACCCAGTCGGAGATGACTGTAATCTGAGGTAAGTTTGTTTGGGGTAGTGTGGGTTTTTGCCGCTTCGGGTCAATGGCAGCGGGTTTAGGGGTATACCAGGACGGGCTATTGTACCCGTATAACCCCTTCAAAAGGGGGCCTAGTAGCCCATCCTGCATAGGGGCGTAGGGTTTTCGGGTTTAGAGGTTTAGGTGGTTTACTACGCTCGCCGCCAGCCGTGCAAAACCCTCGCCTGCAAGCCAACAGAACTCGACAAGCAAAAGAAGTCGTAGCGTTTTGGACTCTCGACGTTCCACATCCTGGCACTTTTCGCACGCCTCCGGGACGTTTAGCACGTTTCGACTGTTCACGTCCTGGGGCACTTGTTCGCACTTTCTTGGACTGTTTGCGCTTTTCACACTTTTTTCACACTGTTTTTTGACGCAAGTGGAATGGCAGACCCAGCGAACAGCACGACACGAGGTCTGGAGACTGGTGGTTGGTGGACCATCTGCGCGCCTGGTGGAGTGTGACAACTTGGCGCGGTACCGATTGACTTGCTGTTGGTGAGCAGGGAATGGGGGAATGAGGTACCTTATAGAATCCCTTAAAGGTATATGGGGGGCTATAGGGTACCCTCATTCCCTAACCAACAGTAGGTTGACTTATGGGAACGACTTCGGTGCTGGCAGTATTTGCAGGCTGCATCTTGCCCGGGTGACTGTGCAATCTGCATGCGGCTCAGCGCGTGCCTGTTTCTTTCACTGTTGTATATACAGATAAAATTCACTCCGGACTCCGAGCTTTGCCATCCTCAGGCCTTGAGCCCCTGTCGGAGCTGACGGACTTCAAACCCTAACCCTAAACCCTAAACACTAAACCCTAAACCCTGAACCTTAAACCCTAAACTCTAAACCCTAAACTTTCTTAAGTTTTCAGAAGCCCCGAAGCTTCCCGAAACCCGAAGGAGGAGTTGGCCTTCAGCCCGCAACGCGGCTCGCAGGCCTTTGCCGAAGGGCATTTGGGTGGTTTAGGGTCAGGGTTGAGGGTTTAGCGTGTAGGGTAACACCGACGGAAAGGGGAAACCGAAATCCAACGAAACGATGGCGGTCGTAGAACAGTAGCAGAAGTCTAAGTAAGGCAGTAAGTAAATTCTCGAAGTACTAGAAGTAATGGACGTACTAGGTGTAATAGGCGTAAGAACAGTAGTGGAAGCAATGGAAGTAGTGGAAGTACTGGCAGTACTGGAAGTAATGGAAGCAATGGAAGTAGTGGAAGTAATGGCAGGAACGGAAGGAATTGAAGCAATAGATGTACTAGAAGTGACACAGGCGCGAGAATTTCTCTAAGTGATAGGAATACTCGACGTAGTAGAAGTAGTGTAAACGCTTGAAGACATAGACGCAGTAGTCTTCGAAGTGCTCGAAGTGATGGATCCAATGGACGCAATAGATGTAGTGGAAGAATGGAAGCAGCAGAAGTGATAACAGTGATCAAAGGGACAGAAGTAGTGAATGTAGTCAAAGTACTGGAAGTAGCCCAACCGGTAGAAGTGGTCGACGTGGTAAAAGTGACAGAGGTGAGAGAAGTAGAAGTAATTGCAGAGGCAAGAGAGTTGGAGAAGCAGTAGAAGCATCAGAAGTAGCACAAGTTACAAGAAGACTAGAAGTGAGAAGCGCGTGTCCCTTGAAGGTTTCGCAAGTGGCAGGGCTGTCAGGAGCTCAGATCGCCCTCTTCTCCTTTGGTGGCT